AAACCGGTACCTCAACAAAACCTTTTACGTGGAATCTGAGATTCTACCCAGGCACACGTTAGTTGATGGCGACGGGAGAAAGAACGGGTGTTGGCCGTTTCTGATATCTAACCCATTTTTCATCTTTATAGAGAAGCACTCACATACCCGAACATGACCCCCACTAATTGTAATTCCTCGAACCGATCTTGCTCAGATCAACATGAGCTTACGGTTCTTCTGAGATCGATTGTTTAAAAGAGATTGGCTGGGGGATATTAACGGTGACTTGTGTCGTACTCGGTAATAGAAAACTTTGTTGCATAAGCCAGACACTCGTTTAAAGGCTCAGTTCACGATAATTTTGTGGTACCCTTTTCTGGTTGAAAAACGGGTGTTGATGTAGAGGAGTACATCGGTTGGAAAAAGGAGATCTTACGAGATCACCGTGACGGGAATTCTATGTAAGGGGTGTTTTGACGAGGTTTATCTTGCTCCCATTGCGCAAAGAGATGATTACGTCGAGCCAAATTGGTCAAAAACTGCTTCCACGGTCGCCATGGCTTATGATAAGTTGTATGAACTTCCTACATGGGAGTGTCTTAAGATGGTACAGCCTCTACAAAGCCGTTGAAACTCGTTCATTGGAGGTATGGCATCCACACGATACAATCTCTGGCCCCTTATTGTACCCTATCCAGGTCCTTTTACGACCTTATAACGGCATGTATGATACAATTCATACTCTAGGGGAATTTCAGAAACCATTTTTATCGTGAACTGTGCCTTTAAGTGCTGTTGCAATTCCGAAAGGCACTCAATTGCGTGACGCATTACTGGGAGCCAATCTGAGCAATTTGGAAGATTCCTCTTTCAAACCAACCCACCAGTCTATTAAAGCGAGTTCTTCTCTTTGAGCGGAAAATAAATAATCAAAACAAAAGTGGGATACAAACAAATAAAAAAGTAAACAAAAACGAATAGATAAATAAGATGAATGACTTTTGCTGCGTGAATATATGACGTGAAGTGTTTTTCGAAATCCATCACGTCAAGTTCTTTTCCAGCAATCTTGGGAACTGATTAATGACATTTTTGCAGCAAAAAACATACTCGTGACTGAGCCATTAATGTAAATTTATTAGTTCGAATAAAATTCTTTTTTAACATAGTAATAGGGCCAGTTTGTGATTTTATGGGCGAATGAAATTTGCTTGATTTATTCATTCCAAATATTGAACAAAACTGACCAATTCATTTGGATTCACTCAATCGTTTCTTAATGTGCCTATCACTTCTCATTTGCTGACTAATCATTCATAATTATTAAGGGGCGAAATTCCAATTCCCAAAATTGAACAATCTCTCTTCATTGTTTTTGCCATTTCGATGAAGTCATAGGTGCTCTCCTACCAAACCAGTAAGTTACTACAACAGACACGGAAAAAATCTGAATAGTTTCCAACCTTCAAGGTTACGGGCGCTGTATTCAAGCAGAATAGGAAAAAAATAACAAATGGTTTATTTTCTTTAATTTCCAGAGTCTTTTTTTATCCAAACCGTCCGTTTGGTACTAATCAGTCGATCGCGGGCTTTGTTGCTTCCTTCAGATTTCTATCTCAGATTCGACCCCTACACCTTTGTGTCTCTGAGACAGGTCTACCTTTGTTTCTGTTGATTGTCTCCCATACGTTGAGAGATCTCCTGTAGTACAACAATGTACACCATCCCTGGGATGACTTCAGGGTGTTTGCATGCCAATGTAGCGTCTGAAGGAGCTGTGTCCTATCGTTCCTATTCCCAAAAAAGATTTCTTCTAAACCAATGTCGTCCTTTTACCGTTCAAAATGAATTCTGATGGTACCAGGCTTGCCTGGGTCAAGTCCAAGTAGAGAGTGCAATGATAAAGCTTTCAAATTGATCGATTCCGTTCATGGGATGCGAAACGGCATCGACTTTCACCTGGAATTGTAGTGTTGTTTGAATGGGTATGTGGTCTTTACAATAACCTGCGATGCCCAGCCGAGATAGCCCTTTTATAACTCCAGACGAGTCTGGACCAACTATCTGACTTCGGAGGAAGGAAAGGCTCGGTTTGCCCAGGCAAGTACCCAGACGGAATTCGAACCCCGGACCCTGCCTATGTGATCGTGCGCCACTTGTCACTACACCACCGCTGTCCTAGTATAAGAAAAATCACTCGATGAAAAGCTTGAGTACCAAGGGGCTACCGTGAGTTTGCATCAGCTATAAATGAATGTGTCGCATTTTTTAGCAAGAGTATGATGTGCAGAGTGCATTGCGAATGTGCCAAATCGTGTTTTTTGATTGATTCAATTACTCGAAATTACTACAGGTCATCTGCACCGTACAGGAAGTTTTTGTGGGGAAACTGGTATGGCAAACACTGTCAATCATGTTCCAAGCTGGGGTTGTTTATTGGTGTAGGCGACTGTTCGGTGACACCACCGGTTTCGTGGTCACAAACAGTATGCAAAACGTTTCACTTGGGTCTTCCCTTGACATGACAGCTCATCAAGGTGACTCCCACTGGTTTCCAATCAGTCAAAGAAGTTCAACAATGTGCGATTAGTCGACTGGAAAAGTACAGCGCTCCTTGATGAATTATGAAATGTTAGGTCAAAAAAATGTCGAACAAAAACATAGGTAAATAAGTAAATCATTGGGTAATTAACCGAATAATTAAATAGACAAATAGGACGATTGGGTGTGATTACAGTCNTCGACAGGGATGATCTGTAGAATGGAGCAAAGTTTAGTCACCTGCCCTTACATTCCATTATCCCCTTCCTTTCTATCCTGGCAACGTTCTGAAGAGCTTTGTTGGAGCTACTCACATTTCGTTATCGGTACAGTATATTAATTTAATATAGTATTTTCACAATCATACCTCTCTGACCCCTCCCCACCTTGACCGAGGGTCTATATGACCTGGCCGCAAAGTTTTTCCCTTTGCTTCAACTCAACAGCTGCTTCCACACTTTATTACAGACCAAGAGGAAAACTTGTGAAGGAGGGGTTGGAAAAAAGTTCGTCTTCACGTGAAGAACTACTCTCATATCTGTTGTTGCTAGGAATTTCCAGATGCTACCACTAGTTTCGGAAACTTTCGTTCGTGCGTAGTGCTTGAAATTCCAACACTCAGAAAAAATCCCATCAACTCTTGGAATTCCAAAAAGTTTGAAAAATATGATGCTGCATGAAAGAGAACCAAACCAGTTTTTACAAATTTCAACGACAGATGCTCTCACCGGCTGTTCCACTACGTCGTTTGGATGAGTAAAGTAAGTAAAAGAAGTGATTGGTTAGGGAATCCTCAGAAAAAAAANAAAAAAAACCAAAGAGCAAGCGCTTTTTGTTCGGTCACTCATTATTAGCACTACCAAGCTTCAGTATGTGTTGGAAGGGTGAGAAAGAGCGGGGGCAAATTCCTTTGCAGCATAGGCCTGCCAGTGGGATCAACCTGAGCGAACCATGTCATTCATCGGCTACCGGATAGGGTCAAGGGCTCAAGGATGGAAAGTGCTGATAAACCACCAAAATCGACCGTAAGAGCTGAAATTCTGTCATGTAGAACGGCTATTTTTTCAGAGGTCATCATAAAAGTCACTCTAACGGCACCCTAATTGAGTATGGATGTTCAAGGCATGGCGCATCTCTGCATGGTGTTCTACACGTAGTACAACACACCTCTGCACCAGTGTATCCCTCTGCTTACAATCCATTAGGTCCGATGTAATTTCAACTGTTTAACTGTCATTTTCTTGATGGAATTCGAATCGAATTCAATTAGTAACTTATACTTACCTCTACTTGAGTACCATGTTTTTGAAAACTGCCTTAGAAAACCCGAATCGTCTACGTTCAATTCAGTTGTCTACGTGACCAAAGCAAAGACTATCGTTGGCATTACATACCTATGCACCGTTTTTGCTGGCTTACCAAACTCCCATACATCCAGTTCAACTAGTCAACCAACCAAGTTTTTGAAATCACCTCAGCAACTGGTAACACTTTATGTCCAGATGAATAGTCTACATGCAGGTAGTCATACCAAAATCCACAGTTGACTAGCACGTTCCTATGTAAGCGACCGAGACAAGGAAATAACTGCGATTTTCTGGGGTTCGTTGCGCTATTTCTGGTTGAATGATGACTGATGCAAGGCGACTGACTACTGCTCATCAGTCGAGTCCCTTTTTAGCCATCGTCGTTCTGGTCGTCATCGTCGTCAGGGTCACGTCGGTGTGTCTCGTCGCTCGTTCGGCTGAACCGCATAGCACAAGGGGCCAGAGAATGTCCATCCGTCTCGGTGATTCGGTTCGAATCCACGTGATATGTGCAGTCATCGCAGTGAACGAACTGCGTAACTAATGCTCCGCGTTGATGATCAATCCTACGAAGGAATTTCATGAATGCTAACCAGCCTTTTAGCCTATACCCACACCACTCAGCTCTACTCTCCATAAAACCATGTAAATCAATATACCCTAATTAGATGCCTTCCTCAGACTGTTTTTATCGAGAGGCCTCCTCCCAAGAAACAAACAGGTTCTACAGATCATATGAAGCTATTTGCTCCAGCCGCTTTTTATGAAGTCGCAAGTAATAACCTTTCCAGTTCCCCCGGTATTTGGGAAATCCCTGAAGGAATTGCTGAGGTTCGTTTGGGAGTTCAGATTTTATCGGGCCTGTCACCGATGTTCTAGACGTTTTCTTTCCAGCCGAACGGACCAGCCTTGCGTAGATCAGTCGACAAGGTTTTCAGGGGAACCCAGAGGAAGATTGCTGAGAGTTTCAACTTTTCGGGCCTCGGAGGCTTGCATCAATCATATTTGGATTTGATGATGTGCCTGTTCATTTGGAATTACTCCCTCGCTTGACTACGACTTGACCCAACATTTAGAATGAGCCGTGCTTTCATCATGGATAGTGTTAAGCTTGGTTTGATGGATAACGCCATCCCCTATCTGATGCGTATTGCCACGTCTTGCCATCTGTCTTTATCAACCCTTCCTTCACGTTCCAATTAATGAAAGGTCAACAAATGTTCAGAGCATTGCTGACCAGATTCCTTCTTACCGTTCTCTAGAAAAACCCTTGGAAAACTCGATTTTCTGCGCCCATCAAAGGAAAGAAATTTCGCCATTAATAGGCATACGTCACACATGAAAAAGGTGACAGACGAGAACATCAGTGTCGCCCGAATACGATGTGAGTCATAAAAGATTCTATTGAAGTTAAAGAACTCTGATTCGAATCGGATACGTTTGGATAAATGGTTATGGGAGGAATCAGATGATTGGGATATCCTGTATGAACTTAACTATTATCTTCAGGAAGGAAATGGGGCATAGACAAGCCATGTCACTATTCCGTGGACAAAATTTGGATCAAAATCTGTTACTGCGATACTCATATTGGTCGAGTTGATACTCACATACTCGTTCAAAAAAGTAAGAATAGGTATGGTCGAATTCATATCCAGGATTTCCATGAGTGAAGTGTACTCAGAAGGTGCTTACCCATCTGGGACGAGCAAATGGTCTAAATTTTTGTCTGCAGTGCTTGGATGGGCGACAGACGAGGTGTCCTTCCGAATGTTCTAACGAATTTGAATTAAGCCAACTGCATGGTCCTGTAGTTACTTTTCTTCGAGCTGTAGGATGGAAATTATCGAGTTCATCCTGATTCATGAATCCAAAAAAGATTCGTAAAGAAAACCACAACATCTAATCATCCGTCTTTGGTTGATTCTATGCTTTACAGATTCACCTCTTATCTCTAACCACTTCAGCGATCCATTATGCTCATGAATTTCATTTAAATAGTACCATTTTTGGTAAAAGACCTGATGTACCTGAATTTATCATGCTTTAAGAGTCCCTGACAATTCCAGATTATCAGCTCAGAGAATTCTGAATAAGTTCACGTAACGTGCTCCAGGTTCACCATGACCCATGAATTGTGGTCAGGATGGCTTGGTTCCAGTTTTTATCCACTTTTCTACGATGGAATTAATACGATGTAAGACTTTAATGGGTGTGGATACTTTGTAATGGCTAGAAAAACGTCACAAGTTTTTTCCCTTTCATGTCAATTCCCATCTCGGCTTTGTGAGAGACTCTGTTTCTGGGTGTGTGTGTCTGTGTGACGTTTTGACGAATGCGAATTCTGCCGACGACACGACATGCTTCAAATGTTTGAGCCATCACAGTTCCAGTTCGATTTCTTTAACTGGTTTTATCCCCCTTTTTTCTCATAGATGTGTACAAATGACGAAATCAACCACTTAAGGCTCATGATTGATGTCTGGGGAATGTGCATCCCACCTGCTCACTTTCACTCTGAATCCTGCAACAAGAAAAAGGTTATTTATGGATAAGGTTCAGTGATTTTATTGATGCCACCTGAGCTCACATGTTGCCCACGTTCAGGATTCCTATGTATAAACTCTTCCCAGAAGTAGTTTCGCTGCCTTCTGGGACAGGAGAGTTGGTCTGAATCTGTCACTGTGAGGGAAGTTAGAGCCAAGTTGTAGATAAGCCTAATCAAAGAACTTACTGTAGATCTCTGGTATGTTCCAATTGCTTATGCAATTTGAAATGGATGTTGGAGGCATGACGTATTCCGAAAAAGCTGAACTCGGTTTTCAGTGCTATTTCCCTGTGCTCTCTTACCAATGTCCCAAACTATGAGCAAAAATTTGTTCTAAGGAGCCGAACTCGCTTCTTGTCTATCCATTACACTACCGAGATTCCATAAGTCGTCTCCCAGCTTTCTGATGGGATATCTACTCATCAAATAGATTTTACTTTTAGATGAATTCTCACTTCCAGATGAGACAGTCAGTAACAGCTCTAGGCCTCGAATAACAAACTCGCTTGCGACAGTTCTTTACTTGGCATTTCCTCATTCCAGTTCTTCTACTAGGCCAATAAAAATAACCTGTAATAGGTCGTTCTAGTTGTTCTCGGGTGATTGCCACAACTCCAGACGTTCCATTTTGAATTCTGATTTATTACAGCATTCCCAGAATCGGCCATTCAATGTGACTGCGGAGAACACGATGGCGTCAAAGTATGTGAAATCAAACACCATGGAAGGTCGGTAATGATGTCTCATGAAAGTTTTACTGGGAAGAGATATGATGACTATGATGGTTTGATGTGAAGCCCAGGTTCTGAGATTTCTAGCTACTCCTCTTCTCACCGCTTTGAAAATGAGCTATCGAAGATTGATCTGCCTGGCCAACTATTGCTACAGGAAAAACCAAAAAGTCGAGCTTCCGATCTCAATCGAACTAGTATAGTGGCTGAGCTCGTGTCAGCTTTGATCCACGTTCCAGAAGTATCCCCGGACTGTGATGCATTCTTGTAGGAGCACTATTGGCACTGTTCCACGTCTACCTTGTGCTATTTTTGGTAAAGTCATGGCTAGCCTCATAACCTCATGGGTGTACAACCCATGCACCCAAATCTGGCCCCTGGGGCTCACGTTGGCTCTGCAACAAGCAAGCACGTTTGGATTCAAGAACTTTGCTGAATTCCGTGGTATTTTTCGGTTGGTAATCAATGAAGCAATGTCTTTGGAAACTATCTGAAAAGTGAACTTTTCCAGGAGACGAAAGACAATGTGACGTCATGGGTCATTACTATCAGCACTAAAAAGTCAGCAGACGTTGATTTGATGGAGTACCCACTTCTAGCACCTTTTCCTTCCCTATCTCTCTCTAACCCGAAATCTACAAGTTATAGATAGGCACGTAGTTCACCTGATGTTGTACCGTTCCGATCAGTTGGGCGATTCGAGGGAGCGCACACGCTCGTCGTACACGCTCCAGACCACGCCCCATTTCTCAGGCGAAAACAACCGATGACTAATACGGACTGGCTATAAAACCCTTCGAGAGCATTACCGCCCAGAACACCCACCGTCGTCGTCGTCGTGTTACAACCACCAGCTCAGAACTATTCAATATGATGGAGTTGATGCTATTATTGGCTGTACTTGGCTGTACTGTTCTCAGTGCACCGTTACCAGCCCTGGAAGAACAGTTCAATCTGCCTGGTTTCAATATAAAGCAAGAGAAACATGGTGAGTGCCTTTCTACAAAACTCCTTTCGTAAGTGTTTGAAGACGGGCGAAGATTAAAAGTTCGCTATTTTGATAGTTTACTCACAAAGTTTTTACGATCCTACCAAATCCTCTCGTGCCTCTTTCTGCCATCCTTTGCTTTTTCTTCTTTGGAGACATCAGCAAGGTTGTCCATGTTGAGCAGTGGGAGATGTGATCAAGGAGGTTAGGATAAAAGCAGAAATTAACATGTCGACCACGATTATCGTACCGTATCCATAGGGAGCATCGTTCACTCTTTCTAGCCGTTCCCCTTTTTTTCTCCCAGAATTCCTTATTGTTTACTTCGATCTTTCACCTGTCGCCTTTTCAAAAACCGGCCAGTTTAACTTTGATGGGCCTGGCGATGGCGACAGTTCAAGGAGAACCCACAACGTTAGACCTAATGGGGCAGGAGCGATGTTCCCACGATACTAAACAGAATAAAGTCGGAATCCATTCAGGTGTCACGGGAACGAGGAGGTAAAGAGACGACGTATACGATTTTTCCGTCCCGAACGGTGACATGCCCACCTTTACAGTATCTGGGACTTTTTCTATGGAATCAAACAAAATTTTTTATAGTTTAGAACTGCAGCTGTAAAAGGGAGCTTCATCTCGCCCCAATGTCTGGTAGCATCCTTGAAGTGTTCTTTCCTGACCTCAATCTGAAACATAAGTCTTGGACAGGGAGAAATAAGGATCTCAGCGGGTTTGAAGGGCTCCTTTCACGGGAAAATCAGTATTAACTCCTTTATTCCCGGGTGGTTAAAGAAAGACACGGCAAAGGAGTTGTGAAATGTGATTCTTTCAATCATCCTCATTTGGTGTTCGCTTCAAATTTTCTTGTGAGAGCTTTCTGAGTGCCATTAAACAATGATGAAAATGCATTCATCTCTGTGTAATCTTCTAATTGTAAGCACATATTCTGCTTGGATTATCGCAACCCGAATAGGTCATAGGTAGTAGATACCACCAGAAGTGCTTTCAAAAACTTTGTCAATGAGCTACTGACCGCCGCCTTCAGATAGCAACTAATTTTGAACGTCCATCGATGGAACCCTGCCTCCTGAAGAAGGCGTCGAAACGTCAGGTAGTCGAGGCCAATGAATATTATTCTTCCATCTAAAAACCTGGCAAGGCACAAGAATATCATCATCGCAATCCATCACTGGGTTTTTTCACACCTTGTTTATCACCATCAGAGAATTTGATCTTTGGTGTTTGTGGTGGTAGCTGTGGAATGTACGCGGACGAAGAACGGTTTGGCCGTATAAGGAAGGATAACATTGGAATCTGGGGCACTGTCCATTACCATCATTGACAGCATTCCAAGCATTTTTCTCTCAGAAAAACTATGGCGGCGCAATGACGATCTAGCAGGTTCCTTCCTATCACCACTAAAGCACTTGGAAACTGTTAATGCTGTTAGCGAAAGCCGCGATCTCTGACGTCAGCCCATAAAACGCCCCACACCAGTTTTTCTCCCATAAAAGTTGGGTGTGTTTCAGAAGAGAAATTCGCCCGAGTCGATCAGAACAAGGACAAAAAGTTGGACTTCAATGAATTCCTACATATGGAGCTAGCCTATGTCGAAGCCAAGAAGGAAGAATTCGATTCACTCGACAAAGACAGTAAGTTACTCCTAGGTATACCGAGCATAGGCTAACTTCGCAACCCAGCCTTTTCTAGAGGATGGAATCGTTACGCTGAAAGAATACGAGGAACATTACCATGGAGTAACTAGCCGAAGTGAAGCCAGACGAAGTGAATACTTCGCCAACGTCTTCCACGTGAGTTCAGCAGGTCAACGTGGTCCAAGAGGAGGAGAATGATTTTCCTTCTATTCCAGGATTTCGATGAAGACTTCGACATGGCACTCAATCAGAATGAACTACAAAGAGTCCTTGCCGAACGTTTCCTAGTGAAACCTCGTGAGAATTTCCCCAAACTCTTCTACTCCTACGATCATGACCATAGTGGAGGACTGGATCTGACTGGTAAGAGATAACCCTTAAGCCAAGCTGAAAATTTTTGATTGAGCTTCATATTTCAGAATACATGAAATTCGATGCCACCTTCCCATTCGAACAGACTGATCCTATCTCCAGCGACCTGACAAAACTTGCAGAACCCTCGGGAAAGAAGGCCTCATCCAATCGAGGTGTACCCGAATCTCTCATTGATGCAAAAGATAGATCAGCTATCGCTTTGGTCATGGCTCAGGGCAGTCCCACACTAAATGTAAGTCTGAGCTTCGTGATTTTCCAGATTGTCAAGGTCTGATCATTGTCATTTTCCAGGAAGCCGCTAACAGTGTAGCTACTGTCCATGCCGGGAACAGCAGTCCCACGGTGGATGCTGCCGGACTGCATCCAGTCGTGCCAGGGCCACCTCGTCCAGCCGTGCCGATAGTAAAAATTGCCAAACTTGCAAAATCCATCTAATTTTGGAGCTTACTACCGAATGTCTCATGTACATAGTTATAAATTCGATTCTTACTTGAAATTTCTCCTAGGAATTTCAATACTTCCTTCTCATTGTAGATCATTCCTTACAGGTATTACGATCTTTGTATAATTTATTACTTTGTTACGATTTACACTTGTAACTAATGTACATAAAAGTGAATTGACTGCAAAGGTGTCTATTTTTAGATGTTCTATTCCCATTTAATGAGGAAAAGGGTTAAAACAGTGTCTGGCGTCCGATCACTGTGAGGCACTGTACAGGGACCTTGGAGGCACTGGAGCGTCTGGGATGCCCCTTAAAGGATTACGGTACCTGGTGAGGCTCCATGCTTTTGAACAAGCCAACAAAGTGCTCAGCTCAAACGAAATTGAAGGGCATGAAAGGAACACCCAGCCGATTTGAGCTGCGAGGATTTTGCAAGTATTCTTAAATATATCTACATATGGAGATTTATGTATACAAAGGGTGTGGGCACCCATGCGTTAAAGGAACTGATGTGCCCACTGACGACATAAACTAGCTTTCTGAGTTATTTTGGGCGATTGGTCTCTTTTTGCCTTACATGTGCACTACGATCGGTCCATTGTTCAAGATTTTTGATATATCACAAACGTTGGGAGAAGGGATCCATGGGGAGATGGGACCAAGTTGACGCACCATCACACGAACGATCTGGGAATTGAGCAACGGTTTGATATCTATCGAGGTAAACCAAGCCTTTCATCTCTCCGGTTTCGGTTAGTTGGTACCTAAGTCGTCTTGTAGCCGTGAGGGATGAAAGGCTTACTGTCCCAGTAAGAGAGCTCAGTTCTCATCTTACAATTAGTTGACTACTGAAAGTCATTCGATGAGTTACATACGAGTCCGAAACGCCCCAACGATTCCATAACAAAGTCAAAGGGGGCTTACATTCCATCCAACGATCCCATAGCAAAGTCAAAAGAGGGGTTCCATCTTAAAAACAGGACTGGTTCTAGCCAAAGACACTAGTCTTGAGACTTCTTGTGTTGTCCCTCAAAGAGTAGGAACAGAACTAAACATTGGTCATATGGTGCGGATTAAGTGTAAAATATTTGAGTACACTGTACTACAAACATGTGGAATTTCATTAGGCAATAAAAGTGCTCTGCTAAGTAGTTTTAAAGGTTGCTGTAAACCCCACGTTTACTGCCTTTACTACTGCGAGTTGGGCGAATTCCATGTGATCTTCGAGCAAACAGCGGACAACTGTCATTCTAGTCATAAATCAACGCGTCCTTTCATAACTTTAGTGGAATGGTCTGTCTGTGAGTAATCTCAGGGAATGAGATCTCATTAAAGAACTACCATGCTCCAGTGATGATTCAATGAAGTAGTCTGAGCTGTGTCCTTCAAGGACTACTCAATTTTTGTTTTTCTCCGGACTTTTACTCATCCATAATGTAGTAGAAGTAGCTTAAGCAGCTGCCAAGAGCACTAGATACACTTATTAATTATTATCGTAGGCATTATCCTTCGTCTTTACTATCCTCTTTTCATCCCTTCACCTTTTTCTTTTTATTACTTTTTAGACAACATCATTCTTACTTCCGCGTTAATTTGCGCAGGTTCGGGTATATTTGTATAAAGAACCAATTGAGCTGACAATTTGAGTGAATAAATCAATAAATAGATCATGAATAATCAATACTATTACTAAAACTTCTTATGGTTGAAGATGATTGAGATTTAGATGAATAAATGAATATCGATTTATAGCCTTCGACTGTTTTGGTAGGGATTCAACAAAAGGAAACGGCCGATGAGCAATTACCTGTTGGTACGGTTGACTCTATGTATAACAATTAGTACGGATGTTACTGTAATTATCAGTAATTATGGTAGATTCTGCCTTTGTGAAGTCAGTACCTCCCAATAGTTCGTAATGTCTCGTTTCCGGCCAATGTTTCATGAAGAAGTGATTTTCAGCAAGGGGCTGTGCCTGTATCAGCTTTCACTGATGCCTCAGTTCACAACTTTCACATAGCTAATTCCTATAGCTATTCATCCCAGCCATTATTAATTTTATTCATTTTTGCTGAAGTTTATTCTNTGATTTTCAGCAAGGGGCTGTGCCTGTATCAGCTTTCACTGATGCCTCAGTTCACGACTTTCACATAGCACTTTCACATAGCACATAATTCCTATAGCTATTCATCCCAGCCATTATTAATTTTATTCATTTTTGCTGAAGTTTATTCTGATTTTTGTTTTAATTTTAAAAGTTATTGCTAGGAATCGAGCAGACGGTATGAGAATCTCGCTAGACTGAAGGGCAGACTTGGTGGCGCATTTACAATAGAGGCCCTAGAAGGCAATCTGAAAATGAACCGCAGCCCAGGCTGCCTGTCACTGGAAAGCGAATTGTTGTTTTGATTATTTATTTGTTTTTGTCTGTTTTGCCAGAAGAGCTTAGCAAAGTGCGTAAATTAAACCAAATACATTAGCTCAGATCGCAATAAGCTCCTTCATCAAACTATTGACTGGTCTCGGTTTTATTTGGTCTGGGTTTGATCCTTGGGACCATAGTAGCGAAGCCATTTGCAGACGCTCACCCTTGGGAGGCATCAAAAATGGCGAGAAAAAAGAATCATAAATTGAATCACTTAATAGAATGACCTTTCGAGAGAACTGGTTCTTGGAATGTAGTGGTCATCGGATTGCTCACAATAGAAAAGATAAATATAACTTCAATAGAAAACCAGTTTCCAAAACTTGTGGGTTTGCAAAGACTTTGGTGAAAAGGCTGAAAAAAAAATTAAATATTCTTGAAATTAATTTCTCAATAATTGTCACCATGAATTCCAAACGGTTCTAAAGACACGAGAGACCTTCATATCAAGAATATTGTTCTACATTTAAGTGAATTCTCTTTATATAAAGTTTTCGAATTTTTTAATCCTTCCTCAGATTGATCGAGCGTTTGGCTTCAACCTTTCTACGGCCCTTGAACCTGGTCGTCTTGAAGACAAGTGGGGATGAAGTGACTGTTGAGAACCAGAAATATGATCTGAGTTCCCTGGAAGAGATCTGGGGACAAGTAGTTCTATCGTAGGGGGGAAGTGCCGCCATAACGACATATGTTCCATATTTAAGACGTCGTCGGACCACCAATGCTAAGCATTACAACACGTATCCATTGTGGTCCAAAATGTGACAGATCCAGCAAGCCGCTCCTCCTCTGGTCCAGCGGATGTCGCTCTCTGCCTGCCTCACCACCGCACTCAGTCATGTTTGAGTAAGTTCTGCCAGCAACATCCGAACGAATTCAATTTTCGTGGAATTGGGCATAACATAAATCACTTTACACCATTTTCCCTGTGTTTACCGAAAACATCTTAGCTTCCAGGCCCATATGGTTCCGGCTGTTGTCAGATCTCTCCCATGGTCTCCATTAGTTGAGTCAGGCACCGAGTGAAGTTTATAATCGAGTTTACGAAAACATTTTTTAACGGCATAGGCTTTCTCGGACCTCGGAAAAAACCAAAACTCAATTAGAAAGTTTCTGAGTGAGTAGATGGATTTCGCTGGCTGATAGTTTTGATCGTTAGCCTTTTCTGCTTCTTGGAATCCTCCTCTTGTTGGTCCATAAGCGTTTCTAGCAAGTTTTAAAGATTAGATTAGGCCTATCAACTTTTTTTATTCGCACTATCCGGAGGAATGGAAGGCTTGGTTGGTCTGGGAGGGTATCAATACGGGATTCGATCCCCGAACCACTCATTCATAATTTGCGCCGCTTGCCACTACACTACCTCTGTCCTATAAGTTATTAACTATGTATGGTAATTATTTTGATAGGAAAAATGATGACGATCGAATCGATATGACTGTAAGTAATTACTTTTGCATAATTTTATGAACTTATTTGTATTGTGTTTTATTTGTTGTTGTTTACGCTTCTACAGAACTGTTGTTGTTGTTTCAAAAGAAAAAAACCAATTAAGCAAATGAAATTGTTGTAGCTGATGAGATGTTTCGATGAAGAAGTGGGCGTTTTTGATAACAGGCCTAGGCATAGTGTGATGGATGACCGGCAAGCGATGTCGGGTGCCACAATCATTTATGTTTTCTGACTCTTCCTCACCACTGACTGACTGGCTCTCATTAATCCTCTCTTATCACCAGACACAAACATATGTGGCCCGCCTCTACGAAATCCTCCCCATTCGTCCTCCATTATGTTCGTCGTTTCTCTTCGATAACAAGCACTTCATTGAATTTATCACTTCGTTTGCAAATTGTTGAACTTCGTTTTCTCCAATTTCCCGCATCGCTCTGGGCACTTCCCAGTCCCACCTGACTTTGCTCACTTCCTCGTCGGTTGCCTTTTCCAGACATGGTATTTTCTGATAAGCCGTGATAACATGTGATAAACCAGCTCTCTTGGTTTGATAACTCCTTCATTCGGGTATGTTTTCAAGTACAAAGCAAGCGCCTTTCGACGGAACCCCCTCCCCTTTACCAGTAGTTCTCAACTTCTTTACTGTAACCNNCTGATAAGCCGTGATAACATGTGATAAACCAGCTCTCTTGGTTTGATAACTCCTTCAAGTACAAAGCAAGCGCCATTCAATGGACCTCCCCCCTCCTTTACCAGTAGTTTTCAACTTCTTCACTGTAACTTAGGGGAATGTGCACATTATCGTTTAAGCTTAGCTACTAGAACGGTCTGGGATCCCGGGTTGCCTACCGTCTAACCCAGTCAGTCAGGCGTGCCATCCCCTATAGGTCGGTTAGCTTGTAACGAAATCGATTCAGAAAATAAAGGCTTGAATATTTAGTTTATGAACCTTTTGTTGCCGCTTTCATGATGGCCATGTAGGCAACCGAACCCTACTTCGATTCTGAATAGAAGCAGGATTCGTGGCTCATCTCCAAACTGAACTGATCGATTGCCAAAGCAGTCTAAAGGTCAGAGACAGGCGTCAGTTGTCATGTTAGCGATAGGATACATTCG